TGTTTCTAGGGAGCTTGGACGGCAGCTTAGATTAGATCACTCTGAGTAATGGATTGGAGCTGACGAAAACCCGCCGCAGCTCCACACCGCCACGGCCAGGATCCCCGCTCTACCGAGAATCTGTCTGGTTTATTCGGATCAATTTGAGGCGCCCTCATTGTTAATAACCCTGTGTATATTCATGCTAACATTGTTCTCCTCTAATCTGTATTCATGCGAGTATTTCATTCAATCCCCAAGCAAAGCCGGCCCTAAATCCTTGCCAATCACATTTTTGCTACTCCATAATTCTGCGATTGAATATGCCATGAATGACTTCTCAGGCTCTCTCCCTAATCTGAGTGAATCAGCGCGCTGGTCATATTGTGCGTTGGTTATATTTCCCCCACTTAAATTTCTATTATCGTCATGCTTAGTGGAAGATTGAAGGAGAAGGATGTGCGACTTGAGCAATATTTGTTGTCGGTTACTTAGATTTAGCACGATAAAACATTAACCCTACTGAATCATCACTCTGCTCGATGATTTCATTGTTTATTCTTCGACAGATCTTGGATTTAGTTAAACGTGGGAGTGACTGGAATGAATAAAACATACCTTCTTTTGAGAGCGAAGGAAAAAGCTGCGTTCAGTAACACAAACCTGCTGTGCGGCCGCCGGTGGGGGGATGATGTGTTAAACGAGCCACAAACTATGCGGGGTTTTTTTTTTTTCTTCAGGCCAGAGGTCTCATTGTGAAAGGCACGCAAAAGAAAAATGTATTTCAGCTGAGGCCCCCCTGGCTGTTAGCCCTCGACTTCATTGCAGTAATGTAAATGGTGGATTAGGTGTCGTTAGCTGGGACCTCCTCAACCCCTCTTCAGCCACTTCCCCCTCCTCTGCTTTTCCATTAAGACAGCTGGTATCTTTCAAAGGGTCCTGGCCCAGTGATTGATGTGTAATAGCTCCTGGCCTCACCTGCCCCCTCGCAGTATTATTCATCGGCCAGTGCCGCTTTCCACTGAGTACTTTGTGGGTTTTTTTTTTTTTTCTTGAGTACTGGAGGAAGAAATGGTTCTTTCTCTCTCTACATATATCTCACTTTCTCATTCCTGTTCTTCCCGTTGGTACAGAATCACTGACTGCTTCCACATTTCCCTGCTTGTTCATCTTCCATTGCTTGCGTAAAATTACCTCACTGGAGCATCTAAGATTTTCCTTTCTGTCTTTTTACCCTTCTAGGGTTAACAAACACAAGCGTGTGCGTGTGTGTATCCCTGGTGAAATAGTCAAAGTTAAAGAATTTGTTGCAAAGCAGCTGCGTAAAGCGTCTCCAGATGCAACCTAATCGTACCTAGGTTGTAAAGATCCGTGCAGGGGCTTACATCTGCCTCTTACATCAAAGGAGAGGGGGTCAGCCCTCCATTTGCAACAGTTTAGAGTCCTTGTTGGTTTCATTGGAAGAGGCTTATGTTACTGATTAGAGGAGTGAGGAGGTGCTTAGCGTATACACAGATTCTAGCAGCCTTCAGGATTTGAGCCCAGCTATCAAATGGTGCCGTTGTGAAGGTCTTGGTGTTCCTAGCACCTTCTACACTTGCCGGTAGAGCCAAACATTTGGAATAAACAGCTGTAAAACACAAGTGGATATTTACTTTTGCTGGGAAAGCGGTATGTAGAAAGGCGCCGATAGGAGCGTTGTGGATGGATTTTTGGTACCTGGGAAAGCTTTGAGCTGCTAATACCCCGTTTTAGCTAATTGCTTTGCTCTTTAAGAACTACAAAGGCCTTTCGTTCTCTGCTGAAAGACTTGCTCTCGCTCGCTCTCCTGCAGCCAGAAGGTGCTGTGGGAATGTTTCCATATGTTGTTTTTACACCTCTGTGTTTACTCTGCCGTTTTTAAAACCCTCACTGACACTGAAAACGGCGAATGTAGCAGCTGAGCAAAACATTGTCTGCATATCCTGCATCTCTATAAGATGTTCAACCTGTTTGATGTCGTCTCACTGCAGGAGACGACAGTTTTAAGAATATATTACCAACATACAGGCACGGAGATGCTGTAATTACAGCTACATAATAAACAGCACAGAGTGCCACTTCTTCAAGTTGCTGCCGCTTAGTGTTTTTTTGCTGTCTTAACCTTTTTATGTAAAGGTCAATTTCTTCATTTTCTTGATGCATCTAAACATGTTCTCACCAGTATTTACTTTTGCTTTAACGTTGTTAGTTTTTCACCTCAAATTCTGCTGGTAAGCTGCTTCTTCTCTATGAAATAAGAAACAGTAGACTATTTATTTACTCTTTTGTTGGCTTGTATTCCAATAAATCAGCAGTGCTGCTGCCTCTGTCAGGCAATATGTAGCTGCTGTTGTTGCATGCATTTAAATGCTAAGGGGGGGAAAAAGAAAATCAATTTATATTGGCCTGTATAGCTAATAGTGGTCATTCTGGTTACTGAGCACAACAATTACCAAATCTAACTGGATTTCTAATTGCCAGTTTGAGCATGCTTGGGTTTGGCGACGTCACTTCCCGATCCGAGTCCCAGCTTCCAGGAATAAATGGGAATGCTCTGATTGGACTTAATGCCTACGTTTAGGTAAACCATTTAAATATCAGTGGTTCGGCTGTAACGAGCAGTCAGGCGTCAGATTCCTCTAATTAAGCATGTGATGTGTTTACAGACAGCTTTCATGTCTCGTATCACGTGGATTTAATACGAAACACATTTCAACACCTAAAGATGATTTTTTTTTAAACTTTATTTCCGACCTTCTAGATGAGCCAAAACGTGTCGCTCAAACTCTTTGATGAAGCTGATATTTAACTCCATAAAATGCTTATCCATCAAGTGTTTTCCCCTTGAACTCTTAGCTATTCTGTCAAAGTTAATTTTGGACCCGACACACACAGCAGGAGGACACACAGTGTCTCTTCACACTATCTGTATGTGTTGGTTTTGGCTGCGCATCCGTGCACGAACATGCCCGTCACAAAGCTCCAGAGCCCTTTCATCTTCCCTCTGTTCGCTAATGTGTGTGTGTGCCAGCAGCCCAGTGGTCGCCTGGTAACTCATCATTAGGTGATTAATGGGGCTGTGACGAGGCTGCGGTTTAATCAGACTCTGTGTTTGTGTTGAAACCGACGACAAGAGCAGCTGCCCTGTCAGTTGGTGTCTGCTCACGAGATGACAGCGCCCGCTGCTAAGGAGTGCCATTGTCAAATAGGCTTCAGTGTGTATCACTGTGTGTTAGTTTGAGCCAAAAGCATTTTTCTTTCCCCCCCCCTCACCTTCCATCTTCTCCCCACTGCTCACCTTTCCATCTTTGTGGCTCTTCAAATAAACGCTCGCTGGCCTGAAGATTTGCTCTTTAATTTTCCCTCAGCGGTGGTTTTGTCTCTTTCATGCCTCCCCTCTTCCTCTCTGCCACCATGGCCATGGTAACACCGGTGCCGACTGCCCGGCCTCAGCCCTCCAGGGGCTATAATAACCATTTCTAGTTAAATTGTTGCCGTGGGGGCGGAGGTGGAGGTGAGCATTGCCAGTAAATGAGTAGCCTCCTTTGTGGGTGCTGTGTGTAGGAGCAGTGTGGCGCAGACAGTGCGCTGCTTCAGCTTTGCCGTGCTCCAGTGTTTATGGAGGGTTTTTATGAAAAAAGTGGCGGCTCGGTGAAGATAGCTGTAAGTGGCAGCGAACTAAGCATGGCAAATGACCGACTCTGGCTCTTTCCCTCTCCCCTCCCTCACCCAGCGGATTGCTGTAACCCCTTCCCACCCCCCACACCCCCCCTCGGAGCTGTCACTTCACATTATCACAGCAGTGACTGTCAGCTAAGCGCTGGATTGGGTTGGGGTGGGGAGCAGTCTAGAAGTATAAGCACACATGGATGGATGGGCAGAAATGTCACCAGGGGCCTGCGAAGACACGAGTCTGTTAACTTTGTCATTGAGGATTGAGCTCCATATAAACCAAGTAGATTACTACTTTTACTACTTTTACTGCTGAAATAATAAAAAAAAAAACCCCAGCGTTACACCTCTGATCATATGTTACAACCACAAACTTCAGTGTGTTTTATTGTGGTAGACCAACACAAAATAGTGCATAATTGTGATGTTGAGTGAAAAATTACTCTGCCAACTTGGCTTTTTTTTTTCTTCTTTAGAGGTCAGTTACTTGGTAACCAGATCTCCCTGTGTGTAATTTAAACTCAGTAAAAATCCAGCTGTTCAGGGAAGCACACAGAGGGTTGTTTTTTTTTTTTTTTAAAGAGAACATTCGTGAACAATCAGCATCAAGAACTGATCAGTATATTAAATGGAAATTTGACTCAATCAAATGTTTGAAACTCTGTCTACAGGTAAACTATGACCTGGTAAGATAAAAAAAAAAACAACTTTTTCACGCAAACATGAGATAAGACGTGGTGGGGATATCCATCTTCAGGAGGGACAGGGACATTGATTACAGTTAGTGAGAAGATGGATGCAGCTAAAAACAAGACACACTTTTCAGATTTCAAATTTGTGAAAAGTTTAAAAAATGTTTTTTTTTGTTTTTTTTTTTAGACTTCATTAATGTTTTGGTCTATCATGTATAATTACGACAAAATACATTGAAGCTTGTGGTGGTAATACGTCATTACGTGACAAAGTTCAACACATAAACTCTTTCTTCGGCTCTGTTTAAGCTCCTTGGAGCTACAAAAAGGTTTGATTTTTCCTTCAGGTTCTTGCCTTTCTTCTTCTCCATTTCACATTTAAATAAATCTACTTCTATATCTTTTATCAAGAGGAAATTATTAAAACCAAAACTGTTAACACTGCTTGTTTTTCTCTGGCGCATACATTGTTTTTAAAGAAATTTCCTCCCCTAAAATGTACGTCCATTAAGAATAACCGGCCTTGCTCCTGGTGGAGGTTGTTGTATTTTATCACCAAAGATGCAAATGGTGCATGTACCAGCTAACAGTCGTACAGGAACAAACCTGTGCTAATCGTTGTTGTTTTATTCGCAGGTTTCCTGAAACACTGGGGTTGTTGGTGTGGCCGAATTTTCCCTGGATTTGACTGGTAAATTCAGAATTCTGAAGCCCAGGCTCACAGTCTACCTTTCACGGAGGCCCAGCCGTGAGAGGACTGAGGAAGGCACGTGGCGGATCATGACGGCCGACAAAGAGAAGGAACGGGAGAAAGAGCGGGACAGAGACAGAGACAGGGACCGGGACAAAAGGGAGGCCGGGAAATCTCGCCGGCAGGACGGAGACCGGGGCGAGAGCGAGAGCTCCAGGCCGCGCCGCAGCTGCACGCTGGAGGGCGGGGCCAAGAACTATGCAGAAAGCGAGCACAGCGAAGACGAGGACAACGACAACGGCAGCACCGGCGGAGGCAGCGGCACGGCCGAGGAGGCCGGCAAGAAGGGCAAGAAGAAGATGCCCAAGAAGAAGTCGCGCTACGAGCGCACAGAGAACGGAGAGATTACGTCCTTCATTACGGAAGACGACGTTGTTTACAGACCCGGAGGTGAGTTCGTTCAGCGGTGTTGACCTGATCTGTGTCGTTTCACCATCACTGGGTTCAGTTCACCAACTTCTGCCATCTACGTCTTGTAGATGGCTTTCTAACAGTCACCATGTTATTGTTTATAAGACAGGACTGATACGCTGTCAGGTAGAGTCTGGAATTTCATGTCGATGTTTTTCACGTCTCTGAAAGCAAAAAGTACGATTTTATAATGTTGTCCTTTTGTTTTTCTCTACTTCCTCACATACCTGCTCCTTCTGTCCTTTCTAAAAGGTGTACTCCTTAGATAGGACAGAATTAATTTCTTTCCTTCCTTTGTCTTGTTTCCTAACTTTTTTTGGTGTGTTTTATACGTTTCTCCAAAACAAGTTTTAATTTTTCCCTCCTTTCTTTTTGTTCTTCCTGTTGTCCTCATATTACTCTTTCTGTTCATTGTATTTTTTGTTCTTTCCACATGTGCAACCTGTCTTTTTCTCTAACTGATATCCTACTTGTTTTTTCCTCCTTTATTTCCTCTGTTTTTTCTTCTCTCCTTGCTTCCTACTCTTCTTTGCTTATTCACATGTGTCCTTTCTTGTGTCCTACCTATCTGTCTTTCCTTTCATTTTTGTCTCACATTCTTTAGGTCCTTCCTGGTGTCTTCAGTAGCTTTCTTTTTTTGTTCTTTCTTTCTTTTTTTCCTTCTCTTTCCCTTCTCTCATTTCATGCCTTCCATTCCTTCCTTCCTAAAGTGAACATGTCTTCTATACAAATCTTAGTATTTCTATTCAAAGTGAAGGTGGAAAAAAAAACCCACTAAGAAGTCTGAAAAGTTCAGTTTGGAAAAGTCTTTAATTTCCTGTAAAACTGTGCCTGTACCCTGATGTGAAACTAGCTTTAGGAGATGCGCGGAAACAAAACCCAATTGATTTCCCTTAAAGAAACAGTCATCTCGGTTGCGATGAGCTGCGGAGGGATTGCGGATTCTTCAAAGAATCAACTCTCCAACAGCAGAAACGCTCCCTCAGGCTAAAGGCCGATGCATCATGCAATCAATCCTGTGACCCACTCTGAGCTTTGTCTTGAGCTGAGTCAATAAAGCAAAGTGGTGCTCCACTAGATGATGTGATTGTGACGACAGCCGCGATAACGATTTCTTCCCAACACCGTCTGACTCTCTGAAAGTCTGCCATCGTTTCTGGGGCTAGAGGGTTCTCCAGCTTCCTGGAGAGACGTTTGAGCTGCAGCGCGACGCCTTCGTCGAGTCGGACGTAAAGGAGATGGGAACAGAGCCAAGCTCATCCCGAGCTGTAAATGTGGCTTCTTTTTCACGTGTTGTGTTTATAAAAGCGTTGGTATTGCAGGTGAGCATGGAGGCCTCGCTGACTGCTATCTGCTCTCCTGCTGCTCAGTGCTGCGCGCCTTACTTACAACTAAATCGTTGTCGTGACGTCTCTTCGTTTATGTAGGAGCTGGTGAAAGGTCAGGTAGCAGAGGAGACGCTAAAGTGTTTGATTAGGAAACATTGAAGGTTTCCTTTAACCACCTTGTTTAATACATCGGAGGTTTGCATTAATTGATTCTTTTGCTGTTTTGATCATTTTTCCACTCCGCTTGGCCAATTACTTGAACAACTATTTGGATTTAACGTGTTGGATCAAATTGTTGTTTGAAATCACAAAAAATTGACATTATGTTTGAGATTGTTACTTTTGCTGTTGACGCTGGTTTTAGTCATTTTTTGATCAGAGCTATTGTGCGCTGATTTCCCAACATCTCTGGGCTGCTTACTATAACTGAAGTAGCCTGAGTGATAACACTGAAGTCTCGTTTTCAGAGCAGTATTTGTTATGTGTTGGTTATTCTGTCCAGTAATAAATAGTTTTCTTTTTCAAAAGTGTAGCATTATTTTTAATCTCTAATGTTAAAAATGCTGGGGCTACGTAAAGCATCGTAAATATGCAGAGTCATTGTGTGATGTATTTATTAATAGTAAGCGTTTCTGGCTGTTGCTGTTTGTGATAATGTCAGAAATTGTCATTTTGCGTGAATATAATATGTTCATCCTGTTGGGTGGATGCTTAAGACCACAGATTGTTGGCAATGAAAGAGAAGAGCTTGGGGGGGGAAGATTTATTATAACTGATATCATAGCTGAAATATTAACAAACGATGTCCCACTTACAGGGTTTTACAATATTAATACTGTGCAGCTCCACTGAATGTGGCGGTAGACTTCCAGCTAAGAGGCTGGGTTATAAATGTAATTGTCACTTTTATCGCCCATTCGTACCCCGACACCAAGGGTTAACCAATAAAAGTGCAGTCAGTCTGCGCTGCATTGACTCGCCGTGCAGCTCAAAGTAAAAAAAAAAAAAGAAAAAAAGAATAATGTAAACAGCCAATCACATCAATGAAACATTCAAAAGGCGTATAAACACAACCAACCATCTCGGAGGGCTAGCTCTATCCAATATTTATATTTCCACATCCGAGTGCGCAGCGTAGTCAGTGTGTGGGGGGGGAATATTTATGTTTCCTGTCTTCTCCTCCCAGTTAGATTGACAGGTTTCGAGGGGCTGAAATGTCACAGCCCACCCCCACCATGACGATGAGGGTTGTTAGATTGGTTTATATTAAGAACGGCTCTCGACTCGGTACTACAGCCTCAGCACCTACGTGCTCGTTTGTAATTTACCTCCCGGTGTCATCATGGAAGATCCTCCACCTCCCCGGCAGACTTCCTGCTGTCTCCTATCCTCATTGTTCGAGTGACAAACCATGCGTGTGTGTTTGTGTGTGTGCGTGTGGGTGTTCTCTTCCCCCCTCCCAGCTAGCCGTTGGTAGCAGCCTTCTTGCAATCAGATTTGATGCGTGCAGCTTAGGCAGGCACAAAGCCTGCGATGGATTATGCTTTACTAAATGTTAAATCCCTTTATACCCGTCTAGTGACATACAATATGTAAAACTGACCACCCTCAGAGGGGGATTTGCGCCACCCCCAGATTGTATGGAGAGCGACGGGACTGTGATGGAGAGCGGACAGAATCTGCTCCGGTTGTGGGTTTTGATTGCTTTTTGTCACATGGAGCTTCAGAAGCAATGCAGGCCCTGTGTCATCACATACAAAATAACAGGTAATCTAGTATTGAACCCTCCCGGTCTCCGACCACTCTCCAATCTCTCTGCTTAGCCTTTCTATCCCTTGAAGATGGATTCAGGCAGCTTAGTGCTCATCGATTGGACGGGGACTTGGTGCAAAAGGAAGTGTGAGCAGCCAGTAGGTGGGCCTGCAGCTAACTAAAGCCCTGCTGCTGCTGTTGCTGCTGCTTAAAACGCAGAGAGGAGAGTGTCTGCGACGGCGGCCTGGGGACTGTGTCCCAGGCCATTTGTGCGGGGCAAGCAGCCCTGCACAGGGCGAGCAGACATGCCAGATCGATGTGAGCCCTGTGGCTGAGCTCGCACCACTTCTCCAGGCCCAGATAGACTCCTCCGAGCCAGTTCTCTCTTCTCATCCACCCCCACTCCATATTGAAGATCCTCTCCTCGGAGAGCATGCACATCGCCAGGAGGGGATCAATAGGAGACGGACACAAAAGTTGCCTGTACGCATGCATGCAAAGCACTCTGATAGCTACTTCTTATGCAAAACGACATCTGCAACTGTTATACTAGTGCAGCCACGTTAAAAACGCGCGTTTAAAATGTGATTTTTCTCATCCACACACCAGTGTCCTAAAATACCTATTGGCTCCAGCCGCTGCATGTCTCCTTATTTCCCTTCTATCCATCAAAATGGAACCTCAGCATCTGTCCTACAGCCCGGTTGCCTCATCAGCTGCAGAGAGACGCGATTTAGGTCATTTTAGATGAGAGACGGTAATGGTTTGTTTGTTGCAGCATACAGAAACAAATTACAGACTTACAGTCCTTCTGCGTTTCATCGTTGATGGGGACAGCCAGTGATTCTTGCTCCAGTCTTCTCTGCTCTCGCAGGATCAGATTTTGTGCATTTAAAGCAAGCTGCAGAGCAGTAAGATATATAACACACAAACACACACGGAGCTTAATAACCAGGCTTCCCAGTTTCCCTCAACTTTCAGCCTCACTGATTGTAGTCGTATAAACATTTCATTTTCTCGGCGATTACCAGAACTTCCAAGTTTCCACATTATGTTGTATTAAACGTCGTCTTTTAAGACTTTTTCCACACTACGTCGACGTACATCGATATATTTTATTAGGCAGTGCCTCATTATTTTCGCAAGTGTGGAAATTCACACACAAAATCAATTTTTCTTTTCTTACAAATTTGCATAATTGTGGTGTTTTTGTTTCAACCGAAGCAGGGCCTTTCGGGTTTATTTCAGGGTTACCTGTAATTAGCTCCACCCTTCTCCCCATCTTCTTTCCTGCTGAAGAAGAGCAAAACAAAGCATGATGCTTCCACTGCCGTATTTTATTGTATGGAAGGGTCCATTAGGAGTTATGTATAGTT